TGCTGTGAAATAGGCTTGGTTATCTCAGTTGGGGCCAGGTTTTAAGTTTATATGCTAGTATAATAGACTCTGCAATAGGTTTTTAAAATAATTATGGGAAATTTTATGTGTATTTTCTATGAAAAGTTCTGGAAAGGTATATAACAAAATGAGTATAAGGATCAGGGTTTTGGTGATTTTTCATTTTCATATTTCAATTTTATGTTCACTTTATATTCTGTCTGCAATAAGATTTGTTTCTTTTATAATAAAACTTGAAGGGCAACATTTTAAATAAAATAAAATGAAAGGTATTATACTGAAGTTAAAATAGGAAACACATGAGGACCAGAGAGTTAGCACATGCATTGGTAAGCAATTCCACTGGCTTTGTGTTCTCTACCATTTTTGCCACCTCCCCTGATGTGACCTGCTCATCTGGAGGTAGCCAACACTAGTGAGGGAAACTGTCCGTGCGCAGATTTCAGCCTCACTGCATTTGTAAGAATTCCCATAAAGGTGTTTTTCTCCACAATCTTTCTTTTTTAAAACTTTTTTATTTACATAAGGTGAACACATCTCATGTTTTTCATATACACAGATTCAAGAGCATAATAATACTTCCCACTTGACTTCAGTTTTTAAACAGCTCAGCCACTTGTGGTGTGATCCCAAAAGATCTTGAAATGGAAGACAGGTTGGAGGAAGACGATGATTTATCTACAAGTGGCAATCCAGCTGGCTCTAGAACGGTTCTGCCAGAGTCTATGTGGAAGGTGTCAGAGCACCTCTACTTGATGGATTTCCTTCCTATCCCCCTTCCTTCTTTTCTTTCCTCTCTTATTTATTTATTTGGAATTAGGACTCCTTTGCAGCCATTATTAAGTTAATGAACTCTCGTGGAGACCAGTGGGTAGTTGATGATCATCTTGACCTTCCTAGTGAGAAAGGCAGAAAGCAGGGGAGTTGCCCCAGATCCTTGCACAGGCAGCTGGAATCCAGCCCAACTTCTTTTTACCCAGTCTTTGTTACTAATCATAATCTTCATCATCTTGAGCAACTTATTCTGAACAAATAATCACCACAGACCATGCCACCTCCTTCACGCCCAGATCTAAAGGATGCATTGGATCTTTCGTCACTGGCAGTTACTAACAGAGAACAAGCAGGAGTTTTTCAAATAGCAACAGCTCATAGACACTGTAGTTTTCTTAGAAGCTCCACATTTACAGAGGGTAAGTGCAGCAGGCTGATTGTCCAAGGATACCAAGAAAAAGGCTTATGTATTTATCAGATTCATACCATATGCTTAAATGATCTTCTCTCTTTACAAGTGACACTGAATGATAAGTGACCAAAGTTTATTTTCCATAGCATGATATAAATGAGGGTTTAAGGTTGCACATGTGAATTGTACTCAAACTGAGGATATTAAAAAGATGCTGTGATTGTCAGGCTGGGAAAAATTCTAATATCATATAGAGAGTAAATGGAAAAACAGATTGAACCAAAGTTTTCTAACTTTGGGTTCTATATTTTTGGAAAAAAGGGGACAAAAGGAAGGAGGGGAAGAGCAAAAGGATGCTCAGCTCCAGGCCACGGACTGGGAAGGCTCAGGAGGGTATCCACAGGGGATCTTCCCTGACGAAAAATTGCATCTGGCACTTCTGTCACCCAAAATGCTAAACTGTATGTGTTCCAACAAAAGTTATAAGCACTGACTTTTAATACAGTCACTGGAGAACTAACAGAAAAGAGGAAACTGGTATATGTTTGGTTAAATAATAAAAGAAACAGTATACTTTTTATCCTATGTCTAGTCACCATGTAATGTAGTGACAAGTACTCTTCAAATATTTGTTACATCAACATTGCATAAATTATTTTTATTTTTAACACTATTCTGTTCCAGTTTCCTATCTTTCATGCAGTATGACATTTATCTCAACACTTACCTCAAATATTAGGAGCAGGTGTTGTGGCACAGTGGATTAAGCCACCACTTGAGATGCCAAGTCCCATATCAGAGAGCTGCTTCTGCTTTTAATCCAGCTTCCTGCTAATGCACAGCCTAGGAGACAAACAGCAAATGATGGTTCATGTACTTGGGTTCCTGCCACTCATATATGATACATGGATGGAGTTCCTGGCTCCTGCCTTTGGCCTGCCCAGTCCTGGAAGTTAGGGACATTTGGGCAGTGAACTAGTGAATGGAAGACTTCTCTCTCTCTCTCTCTCTCTCTCTCTCTCTCTCTCTCCCCCTCCCTCCTTCTCTCTCTCTCTCTCTCTCTCTCTCTCTCATGTTAATGTGAGGTTAATACAAAGAGAATGGATTCAGTGTAGTTCACAGATACAGTTCTCAGAATATACTGTTATTCCCTTCCTTCTTCCCTTTCTCTCTCTTTATTCTTTTTTAATTTTTGAGATAACATGTTTAACTTACATTATAGTCAAAGGCTTAATGCTCCACTAAATAAAGAGTTCCACAAGTAAGAGGTAGAGACCTATTTCAGTGGAGATATAGGCAAGCACTATAAACAATAGTCAAATGAAAAGATAACCATTTAACTCATACACAATAAATTTTAAGAGTCACAGATAATTGAAACTATAGTAGTATATCATTTTTAACCATTGGCTTGACAAAGATATACAACAGAGTTTCCCAAAAGTATATTTGCAACAATACTGATACAAACAGACATTTCTTTTTGTTTTTTGATTTTTTTCTTTTTTTAAGTTCCATACCTTTCCCTCTTTATTGAAGAATTGTTTACTTATTCAAAAGGCAGAGTTACAGAGAGAAAGGAGGAGAGAGAGGTCTTCCATCACTGGTTCACTCCTCAAATGGCCACAACAGAGGGACTGGACAAGGCTGAAGTCAGGAGCTTCCTCCAGGTGTTCCATGTGGGTGCAGGAGCCCAAGAACCTGAGCCATCCTCCAGTGCTTTTCTAGGCACATTAGCAAAGAGCCAGATCAGAAGAAAAGCAACCTGGACTCAAACTAGCGCCCATATGGAATCCTGGTGCTTCAGGCAGCAGCTTTACCCACTATGCTACAGTGCCAGCCCTGATTATTTTTTTGAATATTGGCTCCCACATATAAGGGGGAACATGTGGTACTTGGCTTTCTGTGTCTGGCTCATTTCATTCCACATCTGTTTTACTGGAATTTGTAGAATTGTTTAGGCCAAATAATATATATTAATATATAAATATCACATTTTCTTTATCCATTCATCTGATGATGCACACTGTGGTTGATTCCATATCTTGGCTATTGTGAACAGTGCTGCTATAAATGTGGTGGTATCTCTTTGATACAACATGTTCATATCTTTTGGGTTTTTACCCAGTGATGGGATTGCTGGATTATACAGCAAATCTATTTTTAGTTTTTAAAGAAATCTCCATACTGTTTTCCAAAATGGCTGCACTAATTTACATCTCACCAACAATGTATGAGAGTTCTCCTTTCTCTACGTCCTCATCAGCATTTTTACTCTCTGTCTTTTGGAAGAAAGTCATTCTAACAGGGGTGAGGTGGTTCAATTTGCATTTTCCTGATGGCTAATGATGTTGAGAATTTTTTCATATATTTGTTGGATGTCTGTATTTCTTTTAAAACTGTCTTTTGAGGTCCTTTGCCTATTTCATAACAGAATTGATTATGAGTATGTTGAATTATTTGAGTTACTAATATCTTACAGCTACTAATACTTTGTCAGATAGATAGCTTGTAAATATTTTTTCCCATTCCATTAGATGTCTCTTCACTCTATTGATCATATTTTTTCTTTGCTGTGCAGAAGCCTCTGAGATTTTATAATCCCATTCATCTAGTTTGGCTTTTGTTGCCTATCCTTTGAGGTATTATCTAAGAAGTTGTCACCAACACCAATGTTTTGAAGTATTTCCTGCATATTTTCTTCCAGCAACTTCATAGTCTCAGGTCTTAAATGTAGGTCATTGATCATCTTGAGTTGATTTTTGTGTATAGTGAGAAGTTATGGATTTAGTTTTATTCATCTAAATATTTACATCCAGTTTTACCAGCACTGTTTATTGAAGAGATTATCCCTACTCCAATGTATGGTTTGGGCACTTCGTCGAAAATTAGTTGGCTGGGGGCCAGCACTATGATGTAGATGGTTAAGCTGCTGCCTACATGGGATGCCGGTTCAAGTCCTGGTTGCTCCAGTTCTAATCCAGCATCCTGATAATGCCCCTGGGAAAGCAGCAGAAGATGGCCCAAGATCTTGGGGCCCTACCACCCACATGGGAGACCCAGATGAAGCTCCTAGCTCCTGCCTTTGGCCTGGCCCAGCCCTGGCCTTTGCAGCCATTTGGAGAGTGAACCAGCAGATGGAAGATACCTCTTTCTCACCCTCCCTCCTTCCCTCTCTTTGTATCTCTGCCTTTCAATAAAAAAAAAAATCAGTTGACTATATGTACATAGGTCTCCCATGTGGGTGGCAGAGGCCTAAACACTTGGACCATCTTCCACTGCTTTTCCCAGGAGCATTAGCAATGAGCTGAATCTGAAGTGGAACAGCCAGGACTCAAACTGGTGCCCATATGGACTGCCAGTGCCGCAGGTAGAAGATTTACCTACTATGCTAAGCGCTGCCCCCCTCTTTATTATTTTAAAGTAGGGATCAGGATAGGCATGGATGGATGCTAAATTCATTTCCCTAGGGAAAGAAAGTAAGCTTGTCCCTGTTACCCAATTAATATTGTGGAATTTCTGTGAATTTTCTTATATAACAAGAAATGGTGTTTCACTTGTCAAAAGTTGAAGAAACATATGGCATTATCCCACAAATGGAGGTGGAAATGAAAAAGATTTTAAAAACATGTTATTTGTTTGAAAAGTATGCAAGGTAAAAATCCATTCAGCGTATGAGAAGCCAAGCGGAACCTGGGCACTTTCTTCAAGCAACAGAAGCCTCCGGCAAGAGAAGTGTATTTGTGTCCTCTGTTTGAGATTTTATCTGATTCTTATTTTATTTTTATTCCAGTTGCTACATTGATGGCCGGGTGGTCAAGGTGATGGACTTCCTGAAAACTCGCCTGCTAGACACACTCTCTGATCAGATTAGGAAAATTCAGAAAGTGAGTAAAAGTATACTGGAAAGAAGAGGAGCAACCGTGGGGTAATGAAAGGAAGAGATCGCAGGTTCCAGCTCAGCTTCAGCACTGTGGGAACCAGGGTAGAGAAAAGGGGAACTAGTTCAGGCAGATGAGCATGAGCAAGCTCAAGAGCCCCTTCTCACAGCTGATGCAGCTTGTTTATTGTTTTCCAAATTCACAATGGTTTGTGTGTGCCAAAACAAAGTTTAAAAGCTTATATTTAATAGTTTACTTCTAAATTATGAATTTAATAAGGAAAGGATGAGTTGACATTGGGTATTTTGAGGGGAGGGGTAGTAGGGGTTTATTTTGAGTTAATTTAAGAAGACAATGATTACATTCATTCAGTAAAATTCTGGTCCTGGGCATTAGCAATTCTGAGTCATGTTTACCCTATGCCTAGGTATCTTCGAATCACATAAATAAAATTTTACTTTTATAAAGAGGAGGGGGAAGCTATACCATACTAAACAATTCCATGAAGGTCCTATTAACCTCTAACCAATGTTTCTCAGATTTCATCAGTGATATTCTTTCAGATTTCCAGTATCACTGCTGATGATCCAGTTTAATAAATTGGATTGGCTCCATATTTTTAATAATTATCCACCAAGTGATTCTATGCAATGCAGATTGCCCTAAGGTCACATTTTGAGAGACACTGGATTTGCTAATTCTGAACTGTAATTCTGAAGCTCATGTCTATAATTCCTTTTTTTAAAGATCTATTCATTTATTTAAAAGTCAGAGTTACACAGAGAGAGGAGAGGCAGAGGAGAGAGAGAGAGAGAGAGAGAGAGAGAGAGAGGTCTTCCATCAGATGGTTCACTCCCCAGATGGCCACAATGGCCAGACCTGTGCTGATCTGAAGCCAGGAGCCAGGAGCCAGGAGCTTCCTCCAGGTCTCCCACACGGGTGCAGGAGCCCAGAGACTTGGGCCATCTTCTACCGCTTTCCCAGGGCATATCAGAGAGCTGAATTGGAAGTGGAGTAGCCACGTCTCGAACCAGCGCCCATTTGGGATACCGGCACTTCAGGCCAGGGCATTAACCCACTGCGCCACAGCACCAGCCCCTTATGTCTATAATTTCAATAAGCCTCTCTACAAAATATCACATCTTTCATTGTCCAGTTTCTTGCCCAGGAAATATGGACCCTTTGAATATTTTGATATCTCTTGAGCATATTAAACATATCTTTGCAGAAATATCACAACAGGTGAGCCCTTGATAAATTTGAGATTAATGAATAAATAAACAAGTGAATGGATGGCTCATGTATAAAATTAGTTCTGAAAGTAAATCCTGTTTGAAACAATCGTAGAAAAGCACTCTTGAGAGAGAAAGTGGAAATCTGTTTCTTTCTTTTCTGTATTCATAGCAATACTCAAGTTACAAAGAACCTCTTGCGTCCTATTATTCTCAGTGGGGTTTTAGAGACTGAGAGGCTGCAGGACATCTGGACATCCCTGTCTGGTATCTCCAGGAACCAGGTGCATTAGCCAGCATGCTTTTCTGTCACTGGAAAGTCTAAAGCAACAAAATGATCTGAAATATTCCCAACAGTCCCTGTTCGCCATTCATTCAGTGAAAAATACTTGCGGAGCACTCAACAAGTACAAGCTCTAGTGCCACATGCTGGGATATAAAATGGAATAACACATGGTCTGTGCCCTCACAGACGCAGTTTCAAATTTTCATACTCAGTTTGAGAAAGTTGAGAACATATTAGCTAATACAATAGAATTGCAACCTATTGAACACTACAGGCCTTTTTTTTTTTTAAGATTTATTTATTCATTTTGAAAGTCAGAGTTACAGAGAAAGGGAGAGACAGAGATAGAGAGAAGTCTTCCATCTGCTGTTTCACTCCCCAAATAGCCACAACAGCTGGAGCTGGGTCGATCTGAAGCCAGGAACCAGGAGCTTCTTCCAGGGGGACCATGGCAAAGTCTCCAAACTTTTGATTGTTGACTAGTTGCTTTGACTGTTTCTAAAGTCCCAAGTGGATACAGGACTTCTGGGGGCCTAAGAGGGGTGGAAGGTCTGGGATGTTAGGTTCAAAAATACAAACTGGACAGAATGAACTAATGTCCTAGGCTTTCAAAAGCAAATCAGAGATAGACCAAGTAATGTTTTAATGTCTGTATACCTAAAACTGTCACCCAAAAGTCATAAGAGGGATCTTTGGTTCTTCTCTTAGGAGAAGTTAAGCGAAGTCTTTATGACATCCCCATTTAAGCCTTTATTCTCTACTTACTCTTTGCTTTTTGCACTCATGTTCTTTTCTTTTTTAACTCTGAGGAATATGACAGGTGATTTCTTTGGCACCTTAAAGGCAATGACTAAATTGCTAAAAACAGCTGTGGTTTCCAAATTTAGAATTCCACTTAGAGAAGAATTTGCCATTTTCTGAGCAGTGGCTGAATTATCTAGTTATATGAAAATCTTTATGATGCATTTGGAAACCAAACAGAGCATGTTTGGACAATGTTTAGACAACCCATTCCTTTAGATGATCCATGAAATCTCTCTTCCATTAAAATGAGGACAATCATCTGTACATTGGGAGATGAGTGAAAGGAAAGAATTGAGAATCTGCCAATGAAAATCTACCAATGAATTCAGGGAAGAGCCTGAGAGAGATTTAGGACACAGTGCAGGTGGTATAGTATTGATGGCTGGGCTAACTCCAAAACAATGACATGAGAACCAAGAAGAACCACTTTGGTTGAAGTCATTTGGACTCTGTGATTTGTGTCTTCATCTCCTGGAGGAATCAGAGGAGGAAATAACACTTTTTAGTATTATTTTTCAGAAATTTAATAAGCACAGGAAATAGTTGGTGAAATCCCAGTCATAAGGGAAATATTTCCAAAAGTACTGCCCACATGATTGCATTTTGAATACTAAATAAATGGAAAGTAGGTTTCCCTAGTATTTAGAAAGTTCCTTTCTTCCCTTCCTCTCTTATTAAGCAGCTGTTTATAACTGTCTTAGTATTTCCAGGATTCTAAGAATAAAATGGTAAGCAAGACTGATGCTTACACTCATGTATGCTGTGAGTTTAATGGGAGAATAGTTAATGAAGCAAGCAACTAGTATAAGATATGAAGACTTCTATAATGGGATGCTCCAGGAGCCTATGGTAGGAACTATCTAGTTTGTAAAGTAATCCAAATCAGGAAAGTCCTCAGAAGTGACATTTAGACTAACACCTAAAAGATAGACCTCTCCAATTTATAGTCCTTAAGCTAGATCAGAGAACCACTGGTAGATGTGTATGGGTAGAGGGAATGGTTTATATGGATCATAATGTAGCCATGAGCCTTTTGTTAATATCGTTGTTTATGACTGTTTATGATATTTAAGAAAGAGGAACTCTTTTGAAGTCCCATTGCAATGATATTATACTACTTTTCTTGATACATCTTTGTTGCAGGACCATAGAAATAAGTCAGGCAGAAAGCTATGTAATATTTTGAATTAATTAATAGATTTTAAATAAATCTTGGTTTTCACCTAACCTCTCAGTTTACCAATTTAATTGAGTCTCTTGGTATACCAAAAGAGAAAGAATAAAAAATTACAGTTATTTGTGAGGACCATAGAATAACTGGAAGCATAATCAAAGAGAAAACAAGGACTATAACAATGCTAACCTTATCTAATAAAGAAAACTGGAAAATAAAAGCACGTTATTGGGATAATAATATAACCACAAAATCAATTTTTGATTTATACATTTATTACTTCACTCATTCAACAATGTTAAATGCTTATTTCAAAATACCAGTGCCTGTCAGAGTGTCACTTAGAAGGAGGCACAAAAGGAGGCTGCAGAAAATAAGCAGAGTAGTAGAAATACACTACTCAAACAGGGGAGGAGTAATGTCTTCTCTCTTTCACATTGTCTTATCTCTGCCATTCACATTGCAAAAGACCCTGATCTGCTGTTGACTGTGTAGCATAGTATTTAGTAGGCAGAAACTGATTTAGACAGCCATATAGTTTTTTATTTGACAGATAGAGTTAGACAGTGAGAAAGAGAGAGAGAGAGAGAGAAAGGTCTTCCTTCCGTTGCTTCACCCCCCCCCAAAATGGCCGCTATGGCTGGCATACTGCACCTATCCGAAACCAGGAGCCAGGTGCTTCCTCCTGGTCTCCCATGCAGGTGCAGGGGACCAAGCACTTGGGCCATCCTCCACTGCCCTCCCAGGCCACAGCAGAGAGCTGGACTGGAAGAGGAGCAACTGGGACTAGAACCTGGTGCCCATATGGGATGCCGGCGCCACAGGCAGAGGATTAACCAAGTAAGCCACAGCGCTGGCCCCCAGACAGCCATATTAACAATGCTTACAAGTAGGCATGGTAGGAGAGTATCTTCTGCATGTATATTTAGAGATGAAGGAATGTGACCCCAAGTAACTTTTAGTCTGAATGTTAATGTCATGTATTTCATTTGAGAAAAATAATCTTTCATTCTGTATTAGGAGGTAATAGAAAATGTAAAGAATCTGGGAAGAGATAAACTACACTGGTTTAAATTCACTCTAAGGTAATAAGTTCAAACAGTTGGTCCTTTCCCAAGAGCAGGTTTTGATGGAAAGTAAGAGAAACATGGGCTAAAGACGTATGCAGAGGAGGTACTAGACACCTAAATGCAAACTGTACCATAAAGTAACATGGGATGAAATCCATGGGTGATTTTAAGTTTATGGGGCCCAATGTTTATACAATGGAAACCTCTCTAAGAAAGAAAAAGCAAGAGTTTCACAAATTTTAGAAATATCTGATCATTAAACCCATTAGTAGGGCCCTTCCAAGGACACAGGAAGATGGCTGTGAAAATGAGGAGGTGGAAATTTAGCTCAATGAGCTTTCCAATAAATTAGCCTCTGTTATCCCATTCGGCTGTGCATCTGCAAATGGGAGAATATAACCTAAGAGAACTGGGTACTCTTCATGTACAACACCCTAATA